TAATTTTTGAGACGGGAACTGCTACGTTCTTTGAGGATATTGAGTTTGGGGGGAAGAATAAGATGAAGAACTTCATCTTGGAGGAAGAATCGGTAACAATTTCAGAACCGATTCAAATAGTTACTTTTGATAAAGTAAGTTCGAAACCTCCACAAAGCATTGTTGATGAACCCCTTACTCAAGATGATTTGGTTGTTCATGAAGAACAAACTTAAGATCCTCAAGAACCTGTGCATCATGAGCTAATAACTTTGCAGAGATCCACTAGAGAAAGAAGAAGTGTTATTTCGAATGATTACATGGTATTTCTTGAGGAACATGAAGAAAATAATGATATAATGGAAGATGACCCAGTTAACTTCCGTCAAGCTATACAAGGTTCTAACTCTCAAAAATGGATTGAAGCAATATGATAAGTATAAGTCCATGCAAGACAATAAGGTTATTGGGAACTTGTCCCATTACCAGAAGGTATGAAACTCATTTGGCTTCAAGATGAATATTGTTGATGATTGTATGTATCACAAGTTTAAAGGGAGACAAGTTTAGTCTCAATCAGTGCCCAAAGGGAATTTGGAAATTGAGGAAATGCAAAAGATTCCTTATGCATCAGTTGTAGGGAGTTTGATCTATGTCCAAGTATGTACGCATCCAGACATAGGATATATAGTTAGGGTTCTAGGCAGATATTTAAGCAATCCAGGAATAGACCATTGAAAAGCAGCAAAAAGGGTCATAAGATATTTAAAGAGAACAAAAGATTATATGCTCACATATAGGAGGTCAGACCAGTTGGAGATCGCTGGGTTTTCTGACTCAGATTTTGTAGGATGTCAAGAATTTGTAACATGCTATGAGGCATCAAATCATGGAATATGGCTGAGAAATTTTGTCACAGGGCTGCAAATTGTGAAAGACATTGAAAGACCACTTAAGTTATATTGTGACAATAAATCAGCTGTATTGTTAAGGAAAGAGTACAAAGTGGATATATTTTCATAGAACACTTAAGGACAAACTCCATGATAGCATATCCTCTAACTAAAAGACTTCCGCCCAAGGTCTTTCATGAGCATATTGCTCACATGGGTGTTTTACAGTTTGAGGAATTTGTGGTTTAGTGGGAGTTAGTCACTTTCATATATTTTATGTTTTATGTTTAATTTCATATATGTATACATTGATTTTTGGACATATTTGGTTATCTATAGATATGCGGTTTTTTCGTTCATTCATTACACTTTGTACATTAAGGATATTATATCGATCTCGATAAGTTAAAGTTTGGACCAGTTGAAAATAGACATGTACAATCACCTTCACGTAATTTTTCATGCTACACATTTCATGATGAATCCATGTCATTTGGTTATGTTAGGATGAGTAATCATTGTTGGTTTTAGTTGCGATGATGCAATGAAAAGCTGGTTTGGTTCTATATCCTGATATGATTAATGGACATGACTTTTGGAGTATGCTAAAGGAATATAATGGAAATTTTGAGCTCATAAAGTCTAACACATTTGTAAGGTTGTAAGGACATATATATTTGTGACCAGTGGGAGATTGTTGGCAAAATTTGGGTCATGTATATATATGATATATAATTTAAATGTGTTAGGGTCATTATTTATTAAGCCAAATAATAAAGTGATCTGACTAAATTAAAGTTTTGGCTAAAGGCATATGTCATGAAAATAAAATTGTGTAGAGACCATATTGGAAATACTAAAACTTAAGTAATTAACCTAATTCTGATTATTTTAAGGGGTCGTGGTCCCCTTCTGGGAGCACACACAGAACGTAAGTATCAGTCTCGTTCCTTTCTTTCTATCCCCATCAAGAGAGAAAATCAAGAGGGAAATACAGGTGCTCTTTAGGTGGAAGACCATAAGATGAATATAGTGCTTTACAAAGACATCATCGTTATGGCTAATTCAGGTACGCTTTCGCATTCAGTTTACAACATGTTTATTAGTATGAGATTATGTTTATATTTGATCGTTAGAATCAAAATTAGGATTATTATTATTATTATTATTATTATTATTATTGTTTTTCCAACACTCACTGCCACAATAATGGGAAATGAGGAGTGTTATTGGGATAGTGGAATAGACTTTTTGAAGGATCACAAGGAGACGATCTCACGGAGTAAAGATGATGAAAATCCCACACCATATTGAGCTCCATTTAGCAAAATCCAGCCAATTTCAACACCATATTTCACTTTATACAAATAAATAAATTTATGAACATTACGCTCAATATTTAGAAGGGAACAAAGAATTTGGAAAGAAGAAAGTCCAACTATTCGAATGAAGTTACTTAGGAGCTACATTTAATTTGGTTAGCATGGCGCATTTGAAATCAGTAAAAGGAAGAAAGATATTTAAATTTTTAAACTAACATTCATAGGAAAACAAATTTATCTTCATTAGAGTCACTCATATAAACTTGGTTTGAAGGCAAACAATGTTCTACAATCATCAAATCTAAATCCTCTTCAGAAGTAATATTGATATATTGACAAGAGCTAAGAACATATATAGAGGACAAAAACTCAAAGGCATAAGCATTTACAACACCAAAAATTCAAGCATACTCAAAAGAGTCAACACGAAGATATTTGTCCTTGTGATTACTTTTGTTTTTAGAAGGTTTAACAACCTTCTTAGGGGGTTAGAAGGAGTTTTCCTATTTGGTGTTACTTGACTAACTAGGGTTGCAAATGTTTTTTTAGAGGAAACCTCATCAATATCTCTAGTATGGTCCTTCACAGAAACATTTTTTAAAGAAGAAAATATAGTACACTCTTCATCGAAAATACTTCCAAAACCTTAAATAGTTTGCATTTCTTGTACTAGTATAGAAGAAACAAAATTACTCCTACTAGAACCAAACATAATGAATGAGCCATAGAAAATACTTATTCAATGTAGAGAAAACGGAGGGGAGGTAAGAGATGAAGAAAGGAAAAAAATATTAGAATAAGGAGAAATAAGAAGAGTAAAGATAAATGTGAAAATAGGAAAACAAAGAAGAGATAACTTTTTTTTAAAACGTAACCTCTCTTTGTATATCTGCTCGTAATATTTTTATTATGATTTTATACAAGTTGGTTTTAGGTAAATAAGTTAAGTAAAACTCAAAATATCAAAATATAACTCGTATTAACTAAATACTCAAATAAATTTATCCCTAAAGGAACTCTGCTCCTAAACTTAGGGACTTCTATATCTACTCGACCCATGCCTATTAAAATCATTGTATTTATTTAATTATATTGTTACACGTTATCTTATAATTATCTTTGATATGTTATTATTTTGTCAAATATCTTATATCAATTATTATTTTTTATATTATTATTATCTTAAAAAAGAGATTCAATTATAAAGTAAATATTCTTAAATATACTATTTATTTATCTTGAACAACATAATATCTTTTATGAGTAAATCACTTTTTTTCATTTTAAAAAGAAATTACTTTCTATCGTCTTAAAATTACAACTCATAATATAATTTACTAATATCACATTTCACTGTAAATACTTTGCCTAACTCCACCATCCCAATAAAAACAATATAAGTATAATGAAAGAAAGTTGTTGTGCAGGTTTTAAAGTGATATTTTAATTTGACGTGAGACTAAATTAGAAAATATGGTAACTTGAGTTCGTAAATAAGTAACCAAGTACCCAAGATGTTATAATGAAATTTTTCATTCCCCTCTTAAAAGAATATTTGAAATTTTTTAATTTAGATATTAATTGTCCGAAAGATGAAATCTTCTAAATTTACAAGGTATTCGTAATGGATTCTAATACGTTTCTATTTTCTAATTAAGCTATATATTTTATGAGTTGACATAAGTCATTTATTCAATGATGTTTGACATTCGTCCTATTTCTAACAATATATAGTTTTAATATATATTTTTTATTAAATAATAAAAAATTAATACAATAAAATGGCATAATAATTATCGAAATTGGTATTAGTTAATATAGATTGTCTCAAAAAAATAGAGGAGCACCTCACGAAACTTCAACCGTAGTGTTGACATTATAACCTTGTATTTATCCGCTTAGACTCGAATGCGCTGTCATTATTCCTTGTGACCTTAAAAAATGGATCATCGTAAGTTGAATTTTGACATGATTATATCATCATGAAAACATTGTATTCATCTCTCATATTAAATGAATATTAATACACAAATTTTAATATTACTTCGTCTATTTTAATTTATGTGAAAAAGAAATTCACACAATTTTACATATGATTTGAAAATGTCCCTTTTCATGCATAGACAAAATAGTAAATATATTCAGTTGCAAATAATATTAGTGCTGTCTCATGGCCAAAATAGTATAAATCCTGAATTTCACAAATTTGTGGAATTGAGACTACTTGTTTTGGTCTTTTCCCTACCAATGACAAGCAAGTCAACACAACCAACAACTATTGTGTTTGTAACTACCATGGTTCCTACTATGAACACAATCTAACTTTACAAAGATCTTTTTTGCCTGCAACGTCTTCAACTTCTAAATGACTGGTTAAGACTTGATAGTTGTAAGTTTGACATACATGCATAATGAGTCAAGGTCCAACTGAATGTTTTATATACTTTTGATTCAGCAATCAACAATTTTAATGTTACAAGATATTACAAGAGTCATCATTTTGCAAAAGTGAAAAATAAATACAAAAGGTAATTCCTTGAATGCAAGTCTGCAATTGTATACTGTTTAATTGTGCTAAGAAATTTTTTTTTCAAAATTTCTATTTCATTGTTGCTCTGGCATAGCACATTGGTTGCACAATTGTTTAATTGTGCTAAGAAATTTCTATTTCAAAATTTCTATTTACACATTGGACAGGTCACCTGAGCAAGTATCAACAACCAGCTGATTGGATCAACAGAACATGAACTCTTGATGTACAACTTTTTATGCAAGAACATATGCTCCTGATAGAATCGAGTACATGCTAGTCATCAGACAGCTTCATGTAACCAACAACTGAACTTGGCCGTAGCAATGTCCTGGTGGGCGCTTCTGCCTCATGGATAAAGCACAATCTGTTGGACCTTGATGATCCATGCCCTCCTTAATTCTCCATTCCCCATCCAGTCAGAAGAAGATCCACATTGTTGGATTAAAGAGGCTTTGCTCTCTCATTTTGCATAAAGGTGAAATTTTAGCTTTGTGAAATTCCGAGAATGCATTCTCCCCTTTCAATGAACCTATCTTCATCATGGTATCAACATTCTGGGCTAAACATGAGTTCATTGACATAACCAACCAGTTGAGAGTTTTTAGGTCCAACTCCAACAGATATCTGCAAACCCATTAAACTTGTCCTGGACATTCCACCAGTAGACCCAAGATGTGTATGGATAAACTTTAGAAAAATATAGGATAAATTTGACCTTCGGTATGCCAGTTTCGGAGGTGATTTAGAACCCTTACAACCGATACATCTTGCTCTGGGGAGAAACAAAACTTACGGGAGACAGTAATGTTCTCCTTAGAAATGGATGATCCAATAGCTGAGCTGCAGTTGGACGTTCATTTGGGTTAACTTGTAAGCATTCACGAATGAAATCTTGGGCATCCTTAGATAAATACTCTGGAATAGGGGGAGGTTTACCCCTGCCAATCAGAAATAATGCTTGCATCTGTTGCAATAGAAAAGTCATTTATATACACTATCACCAGTTATTCAATTTCAAAGTGGAGTCACCAACTACACTAAAAATCCTGAATATTCATTCATGATTCAGAGTGAAAGAATAAGAAGGGTAAATACAGTCTCTAATAAACTAATTAATGAAAAATAGGAAAGTGACAAACTTAAGATTAAGAAAAGATAATATAAGAAGTGTTATAATACATACTCCTTCCAAGTCAGAATAAGGTGGCTGCCGCGTCAACATCTCCAAAACTGTACACCCTAAGCTCCATATATCTGCTGCCAGCCCATAACCACCTCCGCTATTTAAGTTAACAACCTATTAACAAACAAATCGAAGTTAAACCAGCCACAATAAAAAGATCAGTACAAAAATTCATTTGCCAGTTCCCTGAAGCGTATCTAATAAATCACAACTGGACGGAAAAACTATAGTTTCAAGATTATGAATCCACACTCTGGCACAAGAAAATCAATGGAAGCATATACTCAATAAACTAATTTATGAATGATTGAACTTTATGTCCTCCCAGCAACATTTGGAATATGTACTACAGACGAAAACTGAATTAGACAAATGATAGAAGAGCAGACAGAGGCAAACCTCAGGGGCCATCCAGTATGGGGAGCCTTTGCTTGACCTAACATCATTAAATTTTGTTGCCTGAGAAGGTTAAAGACAAAAAAAAAATATAAATTATATAATTACAAGCAACCTATTTGGGTTGTGTATGATAAGTAGATGAAAAGAGAAATTCAGCTTTGTTGAAGGCTACCTTTGCCAACCCAAAATCTGCAAGCTTGACAGCCCCACTTACATCAACTAGTATATTAGCACACTTGATGTCCCTTTAATTGAATATTTGAATTGAAATATTCAGAATGTAGCAAATTAATGGAAATTCAAGATATTTCAGAAGCTAACTTCCAAGCACTGCATCCAACTTTCTCATGTTATCTTACACATATCTATTTCATTTTCAAAATTCAAAATTCCTAGATGAGTTGAAATAAGTTAAGTTCTTAAATTTCTCATTTAACAAAAATACAAGGTTATTTCTAAAGGAAATCATCATATTTTAACTTCCTTTGCAGTGCATGTCAAACTTTAATAATAAGCTCCAAACCCAGTATACTTTGAAAACTAGATCATGCAAGACAGTCAGTCTGCTTAAATAAGCTCCAAATAAACCTTCAGCTGGATTTCTAAATGTCATAGTCATACACTTTGAAAGATATCTGTTGTCATTCAATTTCAGGCTACTATAAAATTCTAGCTAGATGCACATAAGCACAAACACACACACTAACAGCAGCTGTGAAGAACCCATTTATTATCAAGAACATTCTAGAATATTTTTCCCTGTAATATTACAAATGAAACAAAAAATATTAATCCTTTACCACAAATCACTTTCATATCATTAACCAAACCACAAAACTTGCTCAAATGATATTATTGTTATTATAGGCACAGTTATCGTTCGTATCATGATAGGAAATTCGTTCATGTTACCTGTGGACCACATTATGATCATGAAGATACTTCAAGCCACATAAAATCTGCCTTGTGTATGCAGAAACTTGAGAATCGTTTAAAAGATACTTTTGATAGAGACTTGCTAATGACCCTTTTGACATAAGCTCAAGGAAGATATATAGTTTACTTTTGTCCTGCAAAATAACAAATAACATATAACTAACAAAGATAATCGAATAAAAACATAAGAAAAATAATTCATTATAAACAAACGTAACCAAACCCAAAATAGTTGAGCAAATCCCTAATTTACTCCTAAAAATATATTTAGAACGCCAATTTGGTCTTTAAAAGCTTAGTGACATACTGACATTAAACTGATGCTCCAATGACTTTTTATCAACACAAGACAACAACTTTTAAACAGAACAAACAGGTAGATGAAATTTTCTGTTGCATTTCATATTCTTTCAAAACAGTCCAAAGTATGAACACTATCTCCCTCCAATGGCCACATGGTATCTCATTCCCTCGTTTTTTCTAACATCATGACATCATTTCCTCTTTGTACATACATATTTGTAGTAATAAAAACAATTTGCAGAATTGCCACATTTCCAAGATGCTTAATGAACAAAGTGATTTTCAGGCAAGTAAATGTTTATTCCCCCAAGTCCTGCAAGTGCAATTATTCTTCCTACATGTCATATTCTGTCAGAACAAAAAAGACTTAATTCATAGACAACAGCATACCTTGTGCGAGCCATAATATCGAACTATGTTTTTATGCTCAAACTTACTCAAAAGAGATATTTCCTGAAAGAGAGGCCACGCACATCATATATAAGAATACTTCCATATAAGAATTAATGGTTAATCATAAGCAGTAATAAAAAGCCTGGGTCTTCAACCTGCTGAAGTTGGAAAACGCTCTGTTTTCCTTGGCTACCTTCATCCAGCAAACACACCTCCTTTACCGCAAAAAAGAATCCCTCACTACAAGAAAACAAAATGAAAATGTTACCCCTACAAAAATAATGCAAATTATAAAGGTAAAAGTGGACCTCAAGATGGTTTGTTTGAAACAGGTTGATAATAAAATAATTGGATACTTTATGTTTCATCAGCTATGGATACAGAAGATTCCGTAATCTAAGCTGCCACAAGTAAATTTTCAAACCAAAGCCTTTAAACGGCCATAACAAAGACAGAGATGACACACTCCTCCTTCATCCTTAGATAAATTCCGAATTCCTGTCCTAAATTTGGCACCACAATATTGCGGTTCATCTTATGCCAACCATAAACAGTCACATATATGAAAGGCGACATGCAACAAGACTCACTAGCAGGCCAATATCAAGTTATAAGTATTTCTATAAGCTGACCAACTGATTATAAGTGCATCTTAAGAAAAAGCTAAGTTGAACCAAAGATGTCATCTTGTGATTAATACTACTGAAATATATATATATATATATATATATATATATATATATATATATATATATATATATATATAACCTTTCATGATTAGTCAAGTTCTCTAAGGAGGAGAAATATTCAAAGTTCTTATAGAGCACCTGCTGAAGCTGTCAACCTAAGTATATACGCCTATAAGTAAACAACTCTTATATAAATAATTAAGAAAAAAAATGGTGCGCAAGAATTTATGAGCAATTATAAGATGTCATTTATATTATTATCTTTGGAAATTGAATGCAATCCGAGCACAAAGACGGTATTTAAATCATGTCAGCAACCGTGACAAAGAAGGGTTTCCTTCGAAGTGCAAGTTAGTCCAAACAACACCGACAAATAACTACTACCCTAACTACTAACTAGATCAGATATTAGAAGAAGGGTTTAACCCAAGTCATTAAATAAAGCAGCAACTAAGTGAAGTATAAAAAAGGAAACACTCACTCAGTGAAGCATTCATAGACGGTTCCGAAAGACCCTTTTCCCAAGACGTGACCTTTTTGCCAAGAGGAGAAAGTCTGTCGGAACCACTCATTGGAGGAGGAGACATGTGGCACAACCAGCTCATCCGCCGCGGCGGAGTTAGAAACCAAACAAACCCTCTCGCCGCCAATGTCACTGTCATCATCATGGGAAGTGGTGAAGGAACCGGAATCAGTGAAAAGCATGCTCCTTTCTCCGTTTCTCAATCTGCTGCCACTACCCCTACCCGCGTCATGATCCCCGGAGGACCAAGGGGAGGAACCTAGAAGGGAGACGGAAGGGGAAACGGCGTCGTCTCGGAGGGGAGGCCCAGAAGTAGCAGTAACGGAAAGAGGGTGGATCTCGGGCGAAGAGTGGAGAAGCGCGTGAGGGGTAGGGGTGGGCCCGGGGGCGTTGGAGGCAGCGACGCGGGCCTTGCGGGCCTCCCAGTCAGCGGTGGGGATGGAGAAGTCTTCGGGGCCGGAGAGGCCCAAGGTCTCGAAGATGAGGTCGAACTCGCCGTCGATGCCGAAGAGGCGGAAGCTGGTTTGGCGATCGAAATGGGAGGAAGAGGAGGTGGAAGAAGGAGGGGGAGAAGAGGGTGGTGGTTGGTAACTGAAGCCCTTTTTGGCGTTGAGCCGCTCCAACCGAGGCTGAGATTGCTTCTTGGTTCGACGCCTCCAGTCCATGGCGTTGGGTTGAGTTGCTGCCAACTCAAAACGAATCTGCTTAGCAATAAGCTCTTCCTCTCTCTCCTTTATTGCTTTAATTATTTTATTTCTTTCTATTTTTTATGGTCTTTATACCTTTTTTTTCTAATAATAAAAAGTAAACTAATCATCATGCTTTTATATGTACTTTTTATTTTTTGGCCTTATCTTGTTTTATTTTATTTTTTTTTACTTAATGTCGTTGTGCGATTTTTTTTAATATATCATTTTTTTTATTTTTATATATATAATATATATACAAACATATTTTTGATTTATTAAAATTATTATTAAATATTTAACAAAATTTTATTTTTATCCTTTATAATTTTATATATTTGAATTTATATATCATTGCTATATTATAAATCTATAATTTAGATCTTATATCCATCACTGTCACTAAGTACTTTAAATGATATAAAGAGATATCAAATAATTATTTTATTAAAAACATGAGAAAGTCATTTGATATTATATTTATTCGGATATGTGGTTGAGATTTTATATTTAGATGTTTATGCAATGAATTATGTGTTGAGTTAGTTGTTTAAATAATTTTAATCCCTAACTTCAAACAAATGTATACACAAAAGAACGTATGTTGAGATTAGTATGTAATTTTCGGTGACAAAATACCTAGTTTTGAATTGCTTTTTGTGTTGTATGCGTGAGTTAATAAAGTAAATTTATATTTTATCCTTTTAACAAACATATATAATAATTATAATTTATGGATATATTATTTAATTTAAAATATTTTTTTTACTACTATTATATATTAAGTGGTAAAATGACTTAATCCGTTAAAGTGATGGGTCAACGAGTGTCAATATTTTTTTTTAGAATAAAATTAATTATATCAATATTAAAAAAAATTATTTGTTAATTAATAGATTGGATAAATTAAAAAAAAAACTACTATATTTAATAATAAAGGATAAAACTATGAATGTAATTACGGGACGTATAATGTTTGAAAGTTATGATGATGGTTAAGTTTGTTTGAAACTGGCATATGATAAACAAGAAATTCAGTGGTTATGGAGATTGGGTGGACTTGGACGTATGTGGAAAAGGATGTTTCCGCGATGTTGGAAGGAAGAAGTGGCAGCCAGCAAAAAAGAGCAGTAAACAATGATTCAGAGTCTCTTTGCCATACCAAAGTCAAGGAAAAGGATTACATTCCTTTTTTATTTTTTTATTTACGTCATAAATAATATTTTCTAAAAAAATTATTCAAATAAAATGTATATTAATTTATTTATTCATTTAATTGGTCTTATTTATTCTTCATATATAAAATTTGATTATGAAGAATTTTTAATTTAGACAAAATAGGACATATCTGATAAAATTATTTTTATTTTTAAGAATGTGGGAGTTGTGAATTTAATCATATAATTATATAGAATGTAAAAAATTAAAAATTACATAATAGTGTTGATTGTAATACCTGTATTTTGATGTAAATTATTTGACTAATAATTGAATTATACATTGTAGTTTTTTTAAAACTTATAAAATCAAATATTTTTATATATATTTTAATTTAATTATTTTAAATAATAAATACAATTTATTTAATATTTTAAAAAAATTAATGTTATTAAATTTCATCATGGATATCTGTTACAGTTTTTATCTATAGTTAGTCAGTAAATGACTTTTATTAAAAATTATAGGAAATTAGAAAATCAAGAGGAAACATTAATTCCACAAGAATAAATATTATGATAAAATTTCAATTTAAATCAAATAATTATTTCTAATTATTTTCAATTTAGAGCTCTTTCAGAACCCTTCATTTGTTGTTAAGCTCTGTTGAGATAAGAGGACTTTACTTCCATTAATAAACCCTAACTTGATAAGTTTTCCAGAATTCCTCAATCTACGTACCATGCTTTTTTCATGTATATATATTTTTTATTTTGTAAAACTAAGTCCGAAAATGAGTTCATTTTAGTATAAACCTAGTATATTCTCAAATTTCATTCAAATTGAAATCTTATGGAGGGAATTATGTCCCAATCAATTTTGGATTTTCCTTAAAATGTTGATGTGCTAATTTTGTATTAAAGCTAACCATGTTATTGTTATGAAGTATATACATGATCTTGCTTATAAAAAGTAGGGAATGATGAAAATGATGATATATAAATCAAAATCCTTAGATTGAAGACTTGAAATAAAAGTTAAATTTTAGTAAAATTTGATTATTTAATTAATAATTTATGCAATCTGGACCGAGTCCAGAGATTTTTAACGTCCAGACATTTTTTATTGAATTTAGAGATATTAGATTGTGTTCTTGATTACTCTACTTTTAGTGTGTTTAAAACCTAGGAAGAACGAGGAGAGTTAATTCAAAATACTTTTTAGAAAATGAGGTTATTGAATGAAATTTAGATGGAATGAGTGAACCATCAATATTAGATCTAATGGGTTAAACGGACATGGTTGCAATAGCACATAAAAAAAATAGCCATAATTCAAGGTTCAAAGTTATGTCACCAAAATTTTGTTAAACTTGAAATTTTGCATAAATATACGATGAGTTATAAAATTTTGATGTTGGCTTTAATTGATGATGTAAATCTTATTGAGATTGGAATGATACGAAAATGTTTTTTTAATTGAATCATGTTATTATTTTGAATAATAATAATAATAATAATAATATATTATTATTATTATTATTAATGTTTTGTGTTATTTGAAAATTAAAAAATATTCGAAAAATAATCATTAAGATATTGGATTTTAGTTGTACAAATTAATTTTCACTACAAAAATACTGAATTATAGCATAGGGTTCTTAATGGCGGTTATGAAAACCTCCGAAAATATATAAATTTAACTACGGTTTTGTAACCCCATTTAATTCCTCACGGTTTATAAAATAAATCGCCGTTAACGTATTTTATTTTTTTAAATTCACTTCTAGAGGTTTATATAGAAACCGTCGTTAAGAGTAAAATATATTTTGCACAACCCTAATCTTTCACGAAACCCTCTCGCCCTCGTTGTTCTCTTCGTCTTCTTCTCCTCTCTAAACCTACACCCGCTTCTTCGAATTCGCTGAACTACAACGTCTTCTCTTCTTTTTCATGCAACCCTCTCTTATTTTCCCCTACATCGAAACCAACTCTAACGGCCTCTTATCTTCGAACTGCAGTCAACCGTAGCGTGTGGTCTTCCTCCGAACCTGGCACCTCAAAGAGTCACCACACGAACCAATCTGAGACTCAATCTATGTCTCTGCCTTACACCTCTCATATTCGAACTGCCGACAAACCATAACACCTAAACCATGCATCTCTCATCTTCGAAGAACAAGCAAATCCTAGTGTGTGGTATTTTTCTTCTCTTTCTTCCTTATTTCATCTATTGCAACTTAATTCCATTATTTTCCACTGTTATGTACACTCTTTCCTTCTCAATTAGTCTCTGCATCATTCAAGGTGTGCTTATTTTGATTATTGTTTGTGCAAGTTCTGTTTGAATTTAAGGAAATTCTTGACAACATTGTAGTTGCAGCAATGTCACATTCTTCAAAACTAGTGAGCTATTGAAAGCGTATTTTACATAAATATAATTTATGATTTATTATTTTTCATACATTAATATCGCTATTCATTTTGGATTGAATACTAATTTTAAGTTTAATACATCATATGTTCTTTGGGGTGGGATAAAATAATTGAAAATATAAGTGATTTGGTATTGTAAATATTTTCTTTGAGGATGTAAAAGGAGATAAGATAGATAAAATTCAAGTAGGATGTCAGTTTGTGGAGATAAATGTAACAACTTCTTTGAGTGATGTATTAAAAAAAAAAAGATTACTTGTATACATGCCATTGAAACTTCTTTGACTAATTGTTTAATTTATGATATATATTGGTTACATTCTTTGTATATAATAATCAAATTTAAGCATATAGTTGTGAGAAGTCCATGTGTTGTGACTATCCCTTTGACCGCTGATAATTACTCAATGGTTGGAGTTACAAACATGCATGCTAGTAATAAGTGAGTATAATTAGTCACTACTTGGCTTTATCCAATTCTATTGTAATATAAGTGAGTATATTAGTTACAAGCATACATGCTAGTATAATAAGTGAGTATAATTGTTATTGAAGTTTCTTCATTCTATTGTAATATCTTTATTACTTTAATTTTTTTATAGGAACCTTGAAAGTGAGGATACCTACACTCTTGCATTGACTATTTAGCCCCCAAATGCATCTCAGTCCAATTTTCAACCAACACATGAAGTTGTACCTGATTCAATAACTCAAGTTCAAGCAACCTCTCATTTACATTTTGAACATAAAGAAGATGAAAATGAGAAAATTGATGTGCTAGTACAACAACAAAGGCCAGCAATGCACAAGAGAGCATGGTTTGTTGATGTCATTGGTAAGACAATATATATATATATATATATATATATATATATATATATATATATATATATATATATATGAAGTTAAAACTTAATATATAAATTAACTACTATGAATGCTCTTTGAAACAACTTTTATAACTTCACATATCACTAATGCAAGATGAATACAAAGCACTTAAAGACAAATGATGTTTGGAATTTGCCTCATAATGAAAGGATTGTTGTGCATTGGAATGATGAGGGTCAACCAATTGGAGAAAGTTGAAGCATTACTGAATAGGTTCTTAGGAAGTATTGCTAGAAACTTCAAGGCATTTCCTATTAGCTATTCTAGTTGGAGAAAGATTCCTAATGATTACAAAGAAGACATAATTCAGAATACTATTCAAGTAAGTAATGTCAATTTTGAATTTTTAATTCAGTTATAATGTAACTGTTGTTAATTTTGATTAAACTATTTTTTGAAGGCTAAGTTTGCAGTCAATTCTGATGTTCAAATAAATCACATCTTGAAGTCACTTAACTCAAAATGAAGAGATTATCAACAAGAATTGTGGCAAAA